GTCAACACTTTTGTTGGGAAGAACAAATATGGCCTGGGAAAGATTTCTACTCAACATGAAGCTTTTTTTCTTCCATGGGATGGGGATGAATACTGGTATAAGACATACCAAGTGCTGACCATCAACCAAGATTACTATGTCCAGCATATCTCTCATGTGGAATATGCTGTTGACCAGATAGAGCTTCTTCATTATCCACCAGAGACCTTGCAATTATCTAAGGTCACCAATCTTGAGTGCCAAAGTGTTGAGAAAACTGTTCATCTAGAAAAGACCAGCACAGTGGAGAAGACCTGGGACATTGGCCGAGAGACACGGAATGGCACATCTTCCACCATTACTGGCAAGATCCCGATACTGAACCCAGAGAATGTGGACTTCTCCAAAGAGCAGACAGTAAGCTTTTCCAAGGGAACAACTATTGTGGAGACCATCAGCCATACCATCTCTGTTCAGATTGTGGTCCTGCCAAACCACTCCTGCACAGTACGCATGGAAGGGAAGAAGATAGTAGCTGACATCCCATTCACAGCCAAACTGAGCCGCACTTATCACAATGGCAACACTCACTGGACCACTGTCACCGGTACCTATAATGGTGTGAGGATTTCAGAACTAAATGCTGTAATAGACCGTTGCCAGCCAATTCCCGATGCTCAGCCCTGTCCCTGAAGGGAAAGCAAGTAAAATTCCCCATTTCATTATGGATGTCCTTGTACCAAAGCAGATAAACAAATCTCTAGGAGAAAAGCACATATAGAAAGCGCGTAAATCCAAACCCTTTTGTAAGACCCCCTTCCTGTCATATTCTGCTCCCATTGACAACTGAACTGAGAAAATGCAAACAGACTATCCATGGCATATTTTTAAAAACATAAATAGTGAATGTTGTTGGTAAAAATGTCATCAATAAAAAACATTATGTCATAACCTACACAATGCAATGTTTTTTTTTCCACTTTGGATCTGGAAAACAAAAAAGGAATGAATCAAATGAAGCATGTGGGGCAAAGAATTGGACTTGATTACAAGGTTGCATGTTTTAATCCTAGGACATGTGTGTGTGTGTGGATTAGGTTTATATTACATCGTGGGGACCAAATGTTATTTTGATGTTGTGTGGACCATTTCTCAGGTCCCCATGAAGATCTGTGAATGCAATCATAAAAGCAAAAACTTTTAGGGCTTGGTGGGGGTTAAGGTCGTCATGTGGGGATTAGAGTTTTCCCCATAGAAACAAATGGAGAGTAGCCACAAAGATATAGTTACAAACCTGTGTGTATATAAAACATAGTTCATTTTGCATAAAAGTGGCTAAAATACACACATATATTATCCAGAATGTATAGCTTAATTTTATCCATTAGTTTATTTTTACTAGTTATTGTACTTATTATTTAATATTTTGTATGCATTATACACCAAAAAAGTAGCAATTTGTACCTTAGAGGATACAATTACAATTAGTCACTGTAGCTATACCCGCAAAGGTCTGCCTGCTGTACCCTAGCTGTAACTAAATAAACCTTTTAAGGTATAGAAGTTTACTCTGAGGCACATTTTTATGCCATGGGGGGTACATTAATGTCGGTTACAGTATGGCAAATCACTGTAAGTGCAGAAGAACAATGCAGATTTGCCTGCAGAATCAAGTATTAATCAAATAATAGCTATTCTGCTGTAATACTAAAAACTGTTGCGCTGCTCCGTCTATTTATTCAACCCTTCTTGTATATAAAAGTTTTTCAGTGAGTTTAAAAACCACGCACGCGCGCCTAACGGCAAAAACGTGGCTTCTGCGACAAACTTATTCGTCGCTGTCGCCTGTAAATGACGTCATGCCGGGGAGGTAGTAGCAGCAGCATATTAACTTATGTCTGGTTTTGGTAAGCCTTTCAGTATGGCGAACTGGTTTAGAACGTTCACACAATATCTATTACTAAATGAACCATTCACGCAAAAAATGAGCAGTGATGCGATGTTGAAGTCAACTTCGCGTCGGAGAATGGTAAGTCTGGGGGAGACTGTAGACGTCCTACCTAATGTCAACAGACTTCTCGATGATTTTAAAAGACATATTATGTGCCGATTACTTCACATTGAGCTTAAACACAAAGTTATTGTCGCCATCATGCGGTACATTTAGTCACGTGCTTTGGCTCAGGTCGTGGGGCTCGGGAATCCGGGGATGAGCGGCACTCGGCACAGCGTGGGCATGGCGGTTCTCGCCGCGATGTCCGATCGGCTCGGAGTGTCCGGCAGCTGGCGCAATGACAAGCATGTGTCCGGAGAAGTGGTCGTGTCTGCAATCGGCGACACGCAGCTGGTCCTCCTCCGGCCCAGCCTGCTCATGAACATAAACGGCGTCAGCGTGGCAAAAGCTGGTGAGGACGATCGTCTGCCACGAATCTTCTGCGTCCTTCAATGTGATTAAGGGGCGCCAGCAGAAAGTTTTGAAGTGACACAAACACCAAGACATATAATGATGATGATAATAATTCCGATGTGTTTGAACTGGAGCATTGCTAACTAATTTAAAATACACTACCGTTCAAAAGTTTGGGATCACTTAGAAAGTTCCTTGTTTTTAAAAGAAAAAGTACGTCCATTAAAATAACAACAGATTAATCAGAAATACTGTGTAGACATTGTTAATGTTATAATGACTATCACAGCTGGAAACAGCTGTTTTTTAATGGAATGGAATGGAAACACAATAGAAGGGGGAGAGTGAGGTCCCAGAGCACAACTGGGCGAGAGGATAAATATGTGTAGTTTGAGAAACAGATGCATCATAGGTGTACCGAAGCTCATTATCGACAACAATTATTCCTGTGTTCCAGTGCAATGCTTGGTTTGCTAATGCATTTATCATTTTAAAAGGCAATTATGTTAGCATAGACGAAAATTGTTGTGGTGATTAAAGAAGCAATAAAACTGGCCTTTGGACTAGTTGAGTATCTGGTGCATCAGCAATTGTCGGTTCTATTACAAGCTCAAAATGGTCAGAAACAAAGAACTTTCTTCTGAAACTCGTCAGACTATTCTTGTTCTGAGAAATGAAGGCTATTCCATGTGAGAAATTGCCAGGAAACTGAAGACCTGGTACAATGCTGTGTACTACCCCCTTCACAGAGCAGCGCAAACTGGCTCTAACCACAATAAACAGAGGAGAGGGAGGCCCTGGTGCACAACTGAGTGAGAGGATAAATATATTAGAGTGTGTAGTTTGAGAAACAGACGCCTCATAGGTCTTCAACTGGCAGCTTCATTAAATAGAACCTGCAAAGGACCAGTCTCACCGTCAACAGTGATGAGGCAACTCCGGGATGCTGGCCTTCTAGGCAGAACTGCAAAGAAAAAGCTGTATCTCAGAATGGCCAATAAAAAGAAAAGACTGAGATGGGAAAATGAACACAGACATTGGGCAGAGTAAGATTAAACAAAAGTGCTATGGATAGACGAATCTAAGTTTGAGGTGTTCGGATCACAAAGAAGAATGTTTGTGAGATGCAGATCAAATGAAAAGACGCTGGAGGAGGGCTTAACGACATCTGTCAAGCATGGTGGATGCAATGTGATGGTCTGGGGCTGCTTTGGTGATGGTAAAGAGGGAGATTTGTACAGGGTAAATGGGATCTCGAAGAAGGAAGACTATCACTCCATTTTGCAACGCCATGCCATACCCTGTGGATACTGGAGCCAGTTTCATCCTATAACAGGACAATGAACCAAACACAGCTCCAAACTATCCAAGAACTATTTAGGGAAGAAGCAGTCAGCTTATTGCTGTTATGGGAGCAGCTTAACCGAATGGTACGTAAGAAGTGCCCGTCAAGTCAATCCAACCTATGGGAGATGCTTCAGGAAGCACGGGGTGAAACCTCATCAGATTACCTCAATAAACTGACATCTAGAATGCCAGGGTCTGCAAGGCTGTCACTGCTGCAAGTGGAGGACTCTGACGAAATCAAAATTTGAAGAACACAATTATTATTTTAATTTCAAAAATGATTATTTCCAGCCTATTCAATCTCATTTTATGGTTGTTTTCATGGAGAACAAGGAAATTTCTAAGTGACCCCAAACTTTTGAATAGTAGTGTATAGGTAATTAATTTAAAAGGCAACAAGAATAAATCAGGATAAAACATATTCAAAAACATTCAATTAAATCCGTGTTTCTCAAACCAGTCTCGGGGACCCCCAGCCGGTCCATGTTTTTGCTCTCTCCCAATTCCCTAGGGGGTTGAGAGGGAGCAAAAACGTGGACTGTTCAGGGATCCCCGAGGACTGGTTTGAGAAACACTGAATTAAAGGTTTTGCCAACCTGTTCATTCAGGAGCGCCTGGGGTGTAAACAAGTTAAATCACACAAAGTGAGGTCCGGTCCTACACAGTTAATGGTTTGGCAGTGCACAGCCACTTTCGATAGTTTCGTTTCTGAATTAAAATCTCTACAGCTGACATTTGTGGGTGGCCAGAGGTTTCCAGGGGGTGACTCTTGATGGTGCCCTTCGTATTTGTAAAGTTTGATGTTTTCAGTGAGAGAACTGTGTTGTAACAGATCCCTGCATTTGTCTTTTATGCATTAGCCAGCAAGTATCGCATCCAACCAGAGGATATCTTCTTAGTACATGATAACCTGGACAAACCAATGGGAAAGTTTTCCATCAAGAGGGGCGGAAGTGCTAGGTGAGATGAACAAACTGATCAGATGGTATTTCAGGGTGTTGTCCATTCTGAGCAAAACATAGAAATGTCCCCAATGAATCCACTGAAAAACTGGGACATAGTTTTATAAAATCACCTTATTTGGGCTGCTTATGTGGTTAAAAAGCCATTGACACATCTACATTTATCCTAGCAAAAGAGCAGGATATGCGCACTTTTGATTCCTCTGCTTGACAAAAAATATAGGCCTATAATGTGCGTAAGTAATATTTGGTCACCATCACCAAACTTTGTCATTGTCACCGATTGGCAGGGGTCACAATGGTGTCCGGTCCTGTGTGGAGTGCCTTCAAACAGATGTAAGTAACCTGCGGCTTTATAAACCATCAATGAGAGCCACCACCCTTATACAAAGAGCATGTCTATGTTGTCTTCAGGCTTTAGCATAGCTGTCCTAAATGAATGCCATGTTGTCTTCAGACCAGTTAAAAAGTGGTTTACGGTGATATTTTGAATCATGGTGATTGTGTTATTTTAACAAGGGTTTGAATCACAGTGATGTCATTAAACAACTGCAGACACAAATTCTGTGTTTGTGAAATGTGGCCTCGTTCTCTTAAAAAGTCCTTTAGCCATTTTGGCATGACTGTGTTGCCAGCACCTGCAGCGATTTAGCGGTCATCTTGATTCATAGTTTAACATACCTCACAATGTGACAGAAATGACTGTTGTCCGGCATTACCATAAAACTTGGTGTATGCTATCCCCCTGTAACACTTGCTAGTAAGTGTTGAGTGGTTGGCATTTTTGTCTTTCTCTTTCAGAGGAATTGGATTTTTTTAATCCCACCAAATGTACCTTTGAAAAAATAAATTCTTAGAATTACTAATGCCTTAATAGAGGACCCTAGGCAGACAGTTTTAAGGGCTCTTTTTTGTTTTTAATCCTGCCATGGTCGGGATTGATGGTATAATTTCCATCAAAATCAACAGTAAGTATAAAGACAATAAATTCTGTGCTTTTTCTTTGATTTTTCTGTTCAGCAGTCAGTGCATAGCACTGGCCCCGTAGCGCTGGCCCTATAACAACTTCAATTTGTTTCAGGTTTCACTCCACGTTCATGGTCTATAAAAATTCTTAGTATAATAAGGGAATGGCCTCCAGGATGGATATGAATGTATAGGTGTTTCAGCTAAAGAGGTTCATTTGTGCTTTTGATCTTTCTACAGTATTTCTCCATTGCATTGCTCATACTTGACCTCTGACTGGGCACATCATTATTACTATTCATAATTATTATTTGATTTCTGTTCCTAGGTGATGCCCAGACTTCTGATTGGAATCGGCAGACCTGTGGAGAAGGCACTGGTGATCCGTCACGTCCTTGGGCGGTTCTCCAAAGAGGAGCAGAAGGTTTTGTGCACGGTATTAAGCCAGAGTGTGGACCTGCTTCTGTCCCAGTTCGTGGCTGGAGATCAGAAGAAATCGACATCCCCATCGGAGAGCAAACGGGCCTCGCTTAAGAAAGACATAGACCTACAGCATTCACAGTTACCACCAGAAGACAGGAAATGTTCAGAACCCCGGACAGACCTAGACCACCAGTCTGAGGACAGTAAAAACATGGCCCACAGGACTGATGTAGATCTGCAGTGTTCACAGTCTCCACCAGATATAAAATGCCAAGCTGACAGTAAAGACCCAGGTGTGCAGTGTTCTTCATGACCACCATGTGAACGAAACACACATGTGAGCCTGGAGTCACCATGTGACTGAATCTCTCGCTTTTGTGTTCTGTAACCTGAAGCTGAAAGCTTTTAAGTATAACTGTGTGATGTGGTTTTGTTAAATTAAAATAGACTTGTACTGTGGCCACAGAAAGTGTTGAATTTTTCAGGCAGGTATTGCACCCAAAATGTGTGTTTATAAATGTTTTATGAGATATTTTCAGCACAGTTATTTACTAATAGCTTATTTCCGCTTGCTGAAATAACACATTCCTGTGACCCTGTGTGAGATGAGCAGCTGATGGATGGATGGATGGATGGATGGATGATATTATCCATATAGCTTGTTAAATTTTCTTCAGTCTGCTCACCATAAAGACATATAGGATTTACAAAGTATTCTGCTTTGATATGACATCAAAGCTTTAGATTGATACGGCTCACATTACTCTCAGGGGGTCGTCTGTTACCCTGCCAAATCCATAGGTATCTCATACTCATAAAGTCACTTCCTCACAGGAAATATATCATTGTAGTGGCTGCAGGTGCAGAATCCAATAGGCTCTCAAAATGTGTGACTGGATCCCCAAATGACACTTTTACTATTGACTCAGGTTGGGTCCTCTTTCCGTTGCATTAAATGTAACCTGATACAGTGAGTTATTCAATCCAAATATGGTGCAAATACCCACACAATCACAGTCTGAGCACATTTAATCGCTTAATTATTCTAATCCTGCAGTTTGCAGACCTTGTTGACTGTAGGTGAGTGAAATTACTTTCTCTTCTTTCCTTAACTGTGATGTCCTCGGGATTTCCTGACCTCTGTGATGCACCACTTAGTTTTAAATTACCTGCTTGGGTCTAAAGGCTGATTTGTACCTCTGAGTAGAATCTGCGCCCTTAGTAGCCTCCCCCCCCCCCGAGCTACAGGCCTCAGGCTACAGTGTAGGGTACACAGCTGCCTACGGCGTAGATTCCCCGTAGAAGTATGAATTAGCCTTAAGCGGTAATGAACAAGAGGGCATGACCCCCCCCCCAGGTTGTTTATACACAAAGCTGGTTATTTCTACATAAAGCAAACTAAAGATCAATGTGCAATTGATTGAAACATTAACTATTTTCTTCTACACCTTTAAAATGCTTTGACAACTTTGCAACTTTGCCCGCTTTCATGCTTGTGAATCTGCGGTTATCTCATACGAATGACTGTCCTCGTGTGCGGTGCGGCGTTTATCAGTGACAGCTGATCTTTCGGAGAGCTGGGGCGATGGTACCCTTCTGATTTCCTCAGGCCGCCTGTGTCCTGGGGCAGGAGGGAAAAAACAGCACAGAATATTATCAAACATACCTGATTTACCTTCGGGATGGAGACCCAGACGACATTGGCTACTGGGAAACCATTTAAATTGAACACACAGTCCAGATTCAAGCTTACAGGTGTGAGTACTGGGCAGCAGGGCCATCTGCCAAAGTGTTTTCCTCATACAGATGGGATGTTATTTTGTTTCTGCTAGTGTGACAGTGGTGCAGCATCAGCATGAACATAGACATTAGCTCCAAATCAAAGGGAGATCTCAGTTACAACCAAGTCTGTCCTTCATGTCAGCTTAAGCTAAGGGGCGCATGTACATACCCTAGTGTGGCAGTATCTGCTGTGCACCTAATAGAGGGGAACAGGATGTACTACTAGTAAAAAGTAGTGCATTGTGCTACCAATGCAAAGGTTTTGGGTTTGAATCCAAAAAAGCAGTCATTTAAAAAATAAATTGTAATTCCTCCCTCTACTGTAATTTGCTTTGGATGTGGAAATGGTTCCCATATTCTGGTATAAATCTACTTTCAGATGAGGCGATGTTGAGTTCAATGAGTATCAATGGTGGATGCTGTGGTGGGCAGGTTTATGGTTTATGTACAAACAATATAAATTCAGAATATCAACAAGTGAATTAGACCATCCAAAGCCCCACTTGTACTAAGGTTAAACCTTAAATACTCTTCGTGTAGGAGACTATTACATCTGATGTATAAAGTACAGAACACCCATTGATAGCCATTATATTTTCCATTTTATCAAAAATATGTTTCATAACACCGACTGTAGGTGTGTAGAGCCGGAAATAAGGCCAGCTGCACAGGGTAAACACTCACTATGTGCAATTTAGAGAAACCGATTCACCTAAGGTGCATGTCGAAAGAGGAATACCTAAAGAAGCGTGATTCAACCCAGTCCTTGTGGACCCCGAGACAGTCCACATTTTTGCTCCCTCCCAGGTCCCAGCCAATCAAGAACACCAAATAGCTGGTGCAGACCCATTGGGAACTGGGAGAGAGCAAAAATGTGGATTCTCTCAAGGTCCACATGGACTGGGTTACCTATAGGAAACTCATAGGAACATGGGGGGGAAAAACCAGACACAGACGAGCACGAGAATAAAACCTTCAGCCCCAGAGATGAAGCTACAGGGTTAACTATTAAACCAGTATATCATTACATAGATGACTGTTTAAATCTTGATAATATTAAAAAAACTAATCTGTCAAATAATATTCCGCTAATGTCGTTGCAGTTATACGGGAAAGGCTTCTAGTGCTCACAGCTCATCCAGGTCTTGTGCTGATGGAGGGTCACTGTTTCTCTCAGTAAGACCGCCAGGGTAGATTCCTCCCCCGCCAGGCCAGTGCTCTCAAGTACAGCCAGAAGTCTGTGCATCATCTGAGTGTGGTGACCCAGGGCCTCCTCCGCAGAGTCTCCCTCCTCTGGCACTTCCTAGAAATGCAAGCCCAGAGCCAGCTGCTAAGTCGGCTGTAATGTGTGCAGAAAGATCCTATTCTGAGCAGCAAGCGATAGTGGCTCCTTTAAACTAAGTAATGATACAGAGAAAAAAACATAAAAAAGTGAAAAGATGGTGAAGGCGAGAGTACAAATTCTACAAGGAGCGATACCAACATGGCTTTATTACCCTTCCTTAGGATTGTTTAAGTAAAGTTTAAATTATTAGCTGAATGTCATTAATCAGCCTCCCCCAACCCAAGCTTGGTCTCCCATTTCAGTACCTGTTTCAGAGCTCTGGCAGTTTCCTCCAGCACTGTCTCCCACTGGCCTCTGAGCACCTTCTCCTCCTCCAGCCCCTTCCTCAGCCTGTCCGCCTCAGCACGTTTCCGCTGGGACTCCTCGTGCACAGTGGCCAGCTCCTCCCTGAACACATACTATGTTAAATACACTATGTGCTTCAAAGTGAGCCTCTATATAATTATGGATGAACAATGTTGTTAAGGCAAAGACCATTAACACCAACACATCTGATAGAAGATACTATGTGGGCTGCTTTGTTTCACTTCTCTGCCCCCTGCTGGCCTTTAGAAGCAAAGCCACTCACTCCATACTGCATTACGGAATTTGGTTCTCGCTACCAGCATACGAAGTACATTTAGATTTTAAGTAAAGAATGCAATAGTACTTAGTAATAGTTCTGATTTACCCTTTGATAAATAATTACTTCAGCTGAATAAATTTTAATAGTACAAATAAAACTGCATGCATTTCACAATAATTTTTTCATTTCAAAATACACATTAATATTAGCATTAGATAAATGTGCGTATATTTTCCTTATCCCAATATATGCTAATTCCCCAAGCACCAAATTATTGTGAACTGCATATTTTAAGGCAGCATCACTGCATTTTGAGCTCCAGTTTTACTTACAGTGTAAGTACATGGGGAATTTCGATTCTATCTTCTGTTTTCTTTGTTTTATTTAGAAATTTAACAGTTAATTATGCTGTAATGCTTTTAATAACTCTTTATGTTTCATATATGTAGTATTGTTACAACATCTTATGTTTCTGAAGGACTTATTGAGTTCTTTTCTTAGTTTTACCCTCCAAATTACCTAAGGTTACTGAGATCCTGCTGTAATGCACTGTGGTCCTCCTGCAGTTGGAGGCGCTGTTTCTCACTCTTCTCATGCTCCTTTAATTCCGTCTGTTGCTGCTTACACTTCTCAATCAGCTGCTGAATCACCTGGAGCAGAGAAAGTGGCCATTAGGCAATGTTTAAATAAACCTTAAAATAGGGATTCCCAAAATCTAGCCAATCCCTCCCCAAAACCCCCAATACTCAGGGGCCAAGTGTAATACTGACCTCAGACTGGGATTGGGGGTTGGGAACCTCTACTGTAAAGAATGAAGCCTCAGTCACCTGAGGTCCAGTTCAGTACAGTGGCTCAGTGGGCAGTACTGTTACATCTATTAGAATGTCACCCCTTTTACGTGGGTGAGGTTTGCATGCTACTTAAAAGACAGGCTCACTAAAACTATCTATGGAATAACCAGATGGAACACGAGGGCCAAAAGAAAACCAATTGTCTGATAAGACATTTGTAACAATATTTGTTGTTGTTGAAATAAGCATCTTGATTTAATACCTAAACTAAAGTTTAATCAGTGTAGCACTGTAATTCTCCCAATCATGAGGTGATGCACGTTTTATTGAAAATTCCAAAATAATGGAAAAAAATGCATTTTTGCAAAGCAGCTAATTTGGTCATTTAATTTCAGCCCAACTAAGTGAACAATTTATATTATAAATTGCCAAATATGCTAGACCAGTGTTTACCAATCCGGTCCTTGGGGGCCCACAGATAGTCCCTGCTTTTGCTCTCTCCCAGATCCCTAACAGGAGCCAAAATGCAGACCGTCTGGCAGGGAGCGCGGAAGGAGCCAAAACGTGGACCGACTGTAGGTCCCGAGGACCGGAATGGGAAACACTGTGCTTTTATAGTTATTTTCTTTGAGCGTAATTTTGATCTGCTGGAAGTCTATGCAGGGTCTCTGTTTCCTGGGATAGCTTTCAGACTCACCATAACCCTGTACTAGATTAGTGACATGTATGTGGATGTATAGATAATTCCCATGTCAGGTCATGTTTGTACATGAGACTAGTCTTATCATAGCCAGGAATTTCAAGTTCTACCTTCTGGTTGCAGACACTCTTGAAGGTCATCTTCTTTAGCAAAGGCTCCAACACCTCCAGCTCCCGCCTGAGTGTCTTCTCCTTCTCTCTCAGGGCCTGGTTCTCCTCCATCAGCTTCTGGCTCTTCTCGGATAGATTCCGCAGCTGCGCTGTCAGAGACACATTCTCTTTGATGGCCCTCATGGTTGTCAATGGCATCTTCCTGTCTGAGACGCGCCGGAACTCCGCCGCCACAGAAGTGACATGCTCATGCATCTCCTTTTTCAACCTGTAGGGGGAGCACAAAATGGGCTCATGGACTCCACAGAACAGGATGTATCCTTGCGCATCCTGATGATCAGCTGGCCATACGCAAACATCGAGGGCACATCCCGAACACCTAGACAGAGACCTGTCATTGTCCAGCACTGCCTTCTTCTCCAGGTTGTAGATGACATTCCTGTGTTCCTCCTTCTGTTCCTCCAGCTGCACCTTCATGGCCGAAAGGTTCCCCATCAGCTCCTCTTTCTGCAGCTGAAACTCCTCCAGAGCAGCCAGCTTGCCAGCTGAACAGAAAACACCAGAATTAACCACACAGTGCCAGTTCCCCTTCAATCTCCCAGTGCTGGGTTTCAGGTTACTAGAACAGCATTAATACCTGTGCACTCTTAAATATGGATGCATGGTTGCTCATTATTGCCATATAGGATTGATTGATGTTATGTGTGTGAGTAGAGAGTGTGTGTGTGTCTATATTATTCTTACATCATGTGTATCAATGTTTAGCTTTATGCATGATATTCACCTGAAAACAAACGTGAGGCTCTCACCTAGGACTGTGTTCTCTGAACTAAGCTGGTCCTTGCTCTGCTGGAACTCTTGTCGGAGCTGGGCCAGCTGCCTCTCAAAGGAGCCCCTTTCTGCATCCTTGGTATTCTGGAGTTCTGCAAGTTCCTCGGAAAGCTCTAACAGCTCCTTCTCTTTCTGGGCACAAGAGCGTTTCAGGTAGTGTACGATGTCCTCCTTCTCTTTCTCCAAATCATTGTACTGGATGTGGAAGTCCCTCTGCTTCACCTCCAATTCATCGCATTTGTGCTGGTACCTGAACAGAGGCGACCATAGGCGATTTTACTGCGGGTGCACGCAGTGAAATTGCACCCCCTACAGGTCGGATGAAAATGCTATTTGAACATAGTAATAATAATGACACTTTATGAATCCCCGTGGGGAAATTCTCTTTTCGCCTACCACATCTCGACACATTTGTAGGTGAGATCAAGCTTGGCAGTGAAGGAGAACCACCAGCAGCAGCGCCCATGGAGCTGAGGGTTAAGGGTCTTGCTCAAGGGCCCACAGACATGTGACTATTCTGCGGAATTCGGACTCAAGCCGCCGACCTTCCGATCATAGGTAAAGAGACTTAACCCATTCCAAGGCAAATAAAAGTAAATTATATTGTACAATAAAATTATATTTTAAAATGAGGCATGTGTTAGTCATATTAATACTACATAAAATTTTAAGTACCGTTTTTAAAAAAAGTTTTTATATTTCATTTGAAAAACATTTAAGTATAGGCTACACGTACAAAAGCTATTTCAATTATAAACACAATGTTGTTTTTGTATTTTCGTTTTACATTTCTATTCAACATGTGTTACTTAGAAAGAGGTTAGTATAGGGTTTGGTGTATTGTTCTAACGGGGTTGAAACAGTCATGGCATCGCTTTATATGAGATTGCACCAAAACCACGCACCAAATCAAAGACCTCACTCACTTCTGCAGCCGGCGCTCCAAGTCTGCTATCTGCGCCCGGTAATACTCTCTATCAACTTCAGTCAGCGGCCCCTCGGAGATTCTCCCCCGTGAATTCGTGTCATCCTTCTTCGTTTTATCTGAACTTTTATTCTTGCCCTTACTCTTCGGAGGCATAGTAATTCCTACTACTACCCTTCCGGGAAATTCCGATTTGCACCTTGACGGAATGCTGCAACTTATGAAAGTACCCAAGCGTCACTACGGCAACTGAGAGCGTACACAGAAACAAAATGTGCCACATTTAAAGAGACAGGATAATGACCGAAAATGAATTACTAAGCAACACCTATGTTATTTTACTTTTCCACTTATTAAAAAAAGATGAAATCTAACACACAGATATATACTTAGAAGCAAATGAAAATGAAACAGTAAAGGCAATGAAAATGTTTTTAAATCAGATTTGCTTCTATTTGGGTTCCACTTGCAGATAGAGTTGTGTCTCTGTGGGGAACATTATGGTTTCATAGCTCCAGGCTTGTGAGTTAGACTCCTGTTCAGACTATGTGTCCATGGCTTATGCTTAGTTGTGTGCTGCAATGGACTGGTGTTTATGCTTTGTTTTTCCTAGAATAGTGCACAGACCTGCATAGATCCTGCATTAGATGAGTGCTTCTGGGAAATAAACAGAGAATACTCTTGTTCTTCTCTCTTCCCACTGCTTATTGTCCATGAAAATACTGTTAGGCTTGTGTTTGTGAAACTTAAAGCTGCACAGCTGTGTGTTTTATGAATAGCCAAGCAAAGACTAAAACTGATAATACAGTCATATGTATGGGACTTCGTACAATCGCTTTTTATTCATTGATTAGGAAATTTAGAGATGGCAGGAAGAAACCAGAACAGAGGAAGACGGGAAAACATGCCAGATATATGTGCGAAAAGAATGGGCGGAAGTCAAACGCCTAAGCCCGGCGATGGGATCCAGTACTAGACAACTATGTTATTCATTTACCTTTTATGGCTTATGAAATTATATAATTTATTATTATTTTAATAATTACTTTTTGCCCTAAAGCTGCACTCAACTGTTTTCTATTAATTGTTTAACGTTTTGAAAAAGCAATCAGTAGGTCTGTCCATCCTTAATGCCAGGTTTCTGTCCAAAGGTCCCTGAGACCACTAAACAATACAGTGCAGGAATTCAGGAAATTGGTGTGAAATCAAATAGATAAATGCAAAAACAGATAAATAAACACGTTGCAACATCCCCCCAGCTACAGAAGTCCCACTAACTAAGACTGTAATTAACCGCAAAAACTGAAAAGCCGGTGAGGAAACGACGGCCGAAATATCCGAAACCCAGAAATAAAACGTGGTCATATCGAACCCAGCTCCTAAAAGCCATGATCTACATACCTAACAGATCTAAGTCTTTCAGAATGACATGATGAGGAGACTGAACCTTAAAAATAGGCCCAAGGATTACCAGCTGTGTTCGGAAAGTTACTCACAGTAAGTAGTAATACATTACAGACAGAGGTGGAAAGTTCAGGCCCCGAAAGTACAAATCCAGACCAAGGTTTTGTTTCAACCAACCAGTATAGAGTACTCTGTGGCTGTGACTCTTGATACTCAGCTCATCCTTGATTTTGCACATCCTCCCAGATTTGGCTAACGACACTTTGTGCAGCACATTGAGTAGATCTTAAAGCCAGTGAATGATACGTAATCACACTAGAGTGTGCATGCACTGGCTGGTGTTTTCAGACGTTGCTTTCTAATAATGATGAATTATGTCACATGGTTTTAGAAAGCACGCGATTTTGAAGCTTACTTTTAATAATCTGCCACCAGGGAGCACTAGTGTATGGCATTAGTTCCCCTTTACTCTGCTCTTCATAATGAGGGAAAATTATCAGCGCTTCTTTACAATGAGAGTTTATCAGACATGTTGCTTAAGGGTCTGACGTTTTGATGTAATACTTTTTAGGACTTCTGAGATGATGGTTGGGTCATGGGGAAAACTTCTCTAACCTTTAATTGATAATCAACAGACTAATGTTCTTTATGAATGCAAATTATATACAGACAGACATCTTCCTTTAAAGATGTACATTTATTTATTTTATTTATTTATTTACCTTTATTTAACCAGGCAAGACAGATTAAGAACGGGTTTCATATTTGCAACTGTGACCTGGCAAAAGGCAGAGTATCTTGGATACATTTACTACCTATTTATTTATTACGCATGCATACATTGTACGGCTGTTTCTAACACTTTTGCATTATTTTTCACTTTTGCATAAGATATGAAGCCATTTCGTTTTCTGAGTACTTGTATATTGTGCCGTGACCATAAAGTTGAAATTAAACTAATCTAATTAGCTTTTATTGCAGGCTGCCTGGGAATAAATGTAACTTTACTTCATGCTGGTTTTGTAGCTTCCACGTCTTGTGATGTTTGCGTTTAGTGGCAATTCTGAATGGCTCTGAAAGTGTCCGTCTGTAGCCAGTGATGGGAAGTGGACCATTACTTTGAAAAAATAAAGTTTGACCAAGCAGAATATTCAGAGTTCCTGTATTAGAAAACATGCAAGTTTGCTTGTATCTCTGATATATCAGCATTGCTCACAGCCAGGGCAGAGGCTGCTCAATAGTCCCCAGCAGGAAGTCTTCCAGAGCTCAAGCATCTCCTACACAGAACCAGAGAAGCAGCGTGTGAAGTCTGCGCCTTTCAAAGAGGCACAAAAACACACACAAACACATGCTTTACGAACAAGTGTCTGCAAACACAGTCTGCAGGGGGGGGGTGACACTGAGAAAAAGTCGTGCAGCACTGCATGCTGCCAAGGGACAGGGCAGAGCAAGGGGGCACGATGAAATTAATCGATGCCGTTTAAGGAGAAGGCTGGGCGAACGGGCAGCGTCGGGGGGGGGGCCGGGGAGGAGAGACATTCACAGTAGTGGAATGGGGGCCCTCTCTACCATGGGCACTTATGGTGACAATGGGGTGTGGGAGACACTTGTGGAAGGTTTCTATTCAAGGCAAAGCCTCACCCTAACCCCCACCCTGCTCCTCCATGTGCGATGACCCGCTCACCCTTCCAGCCCCATCCATCGCACACATCTCCGGGGGACTTTCCCAGCCTCGCGGCACCGGCAGGCCTGAGAAGAGTCACTCGTCACCCCGATAACTTTTCTCTGCTGGGTCAGAGGTCTCCGGCGGGGCGGAGCGGGGGGCAGAGGCCGGGCAGACGGGAGAGCCAACATTTATTCAGAAAGAGTTTCCCCCAGACCAATCAACTGAGGCCCCATGTCCAAGGGTTAGTGGGGGGTCTGGCCCCCAATCTAAAGATGTGCTGAAGCAAGGATTTATAAAGCGTAGGGGATGTGGCATCTCACCCCCAAACTCTGTCCAAGGCTGAGCCTAAGGTAGATCAAACATCAGGATTTAGCGGCAAATCTTCCAGCTACCATAATCAATAACATTGTTATCATCACTTTCTAGTGGAAACCAATGGGATCACATTTTTGAGACTTTTGAAAATGGATTGTGTGGCTCCCATAATGAATTACTAGTTAGGGTCTTCATTCATGCAATCAACGAAATCTTCGCTACCATTTTTCGCTCTATCTGACAAACGCTGACCAGAGTTTGTGTCTGTTGACACTGATGCTGGTTATGCAGAGAACTTTTCTTAACCGAATCTCATTGACTGTCCTACAGATACCTCATTGTGGCATCCTGGCCAAATAGATAATGGACATATAAGAATATATAACCATACATAATTTATACAAGAATATATAAACATGCCATTTATTCCTAAGCACATTACTAAACATTTTACAAGTCTTGCTTTCCTAAACATGTTTGTCCACAGCTATTGATTTAATGATGGCTTTTGTTATTCAGAGCTTATAACAAAAATCATAAACCACGATACTACTGACAGAGGATGCCGCTAAAGTGTAGGATATTTATATATGAGAGGTGTTTGAGGATCCAATATTGCCCTTACACCATAGTTCTGAAATGTTGGATGAGGAATGTTGCAGGAACAGGGGGTTATACAAGCAAACAATGCCACTCTGTTGATAGTAATATGTAATGCGTGTTTTTCCTTTGTTTTTAAATGACCACTTATCAAAATCTGACTCCATTCATACTGCGAGCCCCAGTATAAAGCTGTGACTGACTACTTAATGAGGAAGGCCTGTTGGGGTTGTATGAGAGAAGTGTGTGTGTGCATGTGATGTGTAAGATTCTTCAACGAAACCTGGCTACATTCAAGGGTTGAGGTCCCTCACCAGACACTGAAGTCTCTCTTACCTCCACTGTTGGCGCTTCTCTCTTCTTGTTGCCTGGCAACCACCCAGCAACAGAGAAGGAATGCATTTTCATTCAAGTCAAGGGGGATTGAAAACAAATCGGTAAGTGAGGAGAGAATGGATTTGACTGTGAGAGGATCCCCCAGTTTTACTGCTAGCGGACAATACAAGTGTCCTGCATAGTGGTTGGGACCACAGGAAGAAGCTCAATCTGAGTCATTAAGTTTGTTGCATGGTACTGCATGAATCCCACAATGACACATTAAGTCCACATTGATATATTAACTCTACAAGATGAACCCACACTGGCCCACTGGGCGTAGAGCTGAAAATCAACTGTGACGCAGTGAAACTGCAGACAGAACCTCGGTGTGACCTGCTGAGACTGGAGGGTTGTCTCACTGTAGAGACATTTACTCAACTGGATGAAGCCCACTTCGGCATTGACTCTCAGGATGAACACCACTCTCCAACACTGACTCGTCAATAGGAACCCCACTTACTAACACTAACACAACAAAGTAACACCCACTGTGACAACGAGAGTGCTAAAATATCTCATTACATTATTTCACAGTCAAACAATGGACACAAAGCCCCAACACACTGACACTACAAAAGACACCCCAATCTAACATGCTGCGATTGCAGAAATAAACCTACTCTGAAACATACTCTCAGGATGAACACTCTTCTTATATAGTGAGACTACAGGAAAAAAAAAAATTCCCACTGACATATCAGAGGAAACTTCTAGTGCAACAAAATGATGCAAATACAATATGACACTGCAATAATATTTCATTACATAATATCAGTCAAAATAAAGCATTTTAAACCAGACTTCAGAATATGTTGCTTCTGTAGTGCAGAATATTTCTGTGTGGAACACACTGTCCCAATATTTTT